TTCTCTGTATTCTTTCTGTACATACTTGGAGTCATCAATATAAATCCTTTAGCATAGCTCTCCTTGCATTTTCTCTATCCTGTTTTTTGTGTTCATCTAGATCGAGTGCGTGTGTTGTTGTGCGATCCTAACAACTGGTATCAGAGCTAGGCGAAATTCACCACAATCTGTGAAGATGAAAAGTTCAAAGATTGGAATTGAGAAGTTTGATGGATCCGATTTCAGTTTCAGAAAGATGCAAATTGAAGATTATCTGTACCAGAAAGATCTTCACGAACCCCCTATTGGGGGCGAAGCCGGATACCATGACTACGGAGCAGTGGAAGCTCAAGGATCAACAAGCCTTATGGCTGATCTGGTTGACGCTATCCAAAAATGTGGCGTTCAACATCATTAAGGAGAAGACAATATCATATATGTTGAAGGCGTTGTCGAATATGTATGAAAAACCGTCAGCTATGAACAAGGTGTATTTGATGCGAAGATTGTTCAATCTACAGATGTCTGTAGGTGGATATGTTGTTGATCATATAAATGAATTCAATATGATCGTAAGTCAACTGAGTTCGGTGGAAATTAATTTCGAGGATGAAATTAAAGCATTGATTTTGATGTCATCTTTACCCGAGTCGTGGGATACTGTTGTTGCTGCAATTAGCCATTCCCGAGGATCTGATAAACTGAATTTTGATTAAAATTGAGATGTACTTCTCAGTGAAAGTATTCACAAACGAGAAATTAGAAATTCATTTGGTAGTGCTCTCAGTGTTGACCAACGGGGAAGAAGTAAACCAAAGGGTCCAAACAAAGGGCGATCAAAATAAAAGAACTGAGAAAAATCTCCAAATACACCAAACGTAATGTGTTGGAATTGTGAAGAAAAATGTCACTTTCGGACAAATTGCACTAGACCAAAGAGGAAGCATAATCACAAATCTGGAGATGATGATGATTCTATAAATTCCCCAGAAGACATTGGGGATGCTCTAATCCTCAGTGTGGACAGTTCGATTGAATCCTGGATTTTGGATTCAGGTGTATCTTTTCATTCGTCTCCAAATAAAGAGTTGTTCTAGAATTTCAAGTGTGGAAATTTCGAGAAGGTATATCTTGCCGACAACAAAGATTTGGAGATTAAAGAAAAGGGAGATGTTTGCATAAAAGCTCTAGTAGGAAATCAGTAAAGGATGTCAAATATATTTATGGTCTCAAGAAGAACCTAATCTCTATAGGTCAGTTGGACAGCACAAGTTATGCAACAAAGTTAGGGAAGAGTTCGTGGAAGATTATGAAGGGTGCTGTGGTGGTAGCACGTGGCACAAAATCTGGAACCTTATACACCACTGCAGGGTGTATGAACATAGCTGTCATTGCTTAGAGTGCTTCAATTTCAAGTCTATGACATAATAGACTTAGACATATGAGCGTGAAAGGAATGAAGATGCTGGGTGCGAAAGGAGTTTTAGAAGATCTGAAATCTGTAGATGTGGGTCGTTGTGAGAACTGCGTTATGAGCAAGCAGAAATGAGTTAGCTTCACAAGGACTGCCAGAGAATTGAAGAAAGTGCGGTCAGAAATGGTCCATACATATGTGGAGCAAGGTTCCAAAACCACTAAGCAAGTGGGAGTTGAGCTTAAGTTGCAAGGAAACTCACCTAGTGATGTTGTAGCATATACTCATAAAATTCCTAAGACTACTGCTGGAGAACCAGATGTGGAGCAAGGTTCCAAGACCACGAAGCAAGTTGGAGTTGAGCTTGAGTTGTAGGGAAACTCATCTAGTGATGTTGTAACAGATACTCATGAAACTCCTGAGACTACTATTGAGGAACCAGATGTAGGGCAAGGTTCCAAGACAACGAAGCAAGTGGGAGTTGAGCTTGAGTTGTAGGGAAACTCATCTAGTGATGTTGTAGCAAATACTCATGAAACTCCTGAGACTACTCCTGAGGATCCAGATGTAGAGCAAGGTTCCAATACCACGAAGCAAGTAGGAGTTGAGCTTGAGTTGTAGGGGAACTCACATAATGATGTTGTAGCAGATACTCATGAAACTCCTGAGACTACTGCTGAGGAACCAGATGTGGAACAAGGTTCCAAGACAACGAAGCAAGTGGGAGTTGAGGTTGAGTGGCGAAAAAATCACATAGTGATGTTGATACTCAAGAAACTTCCGAGACTGTTGCAGAAGAACTAGCGGTAGAGTAAGTAACACCTGAATCGGTGTTGGATCATCCAGTACTATCAGAGTACCAGATATGTATGTATCTTCATTACACTATCTGTTGCTGATGAAAGGGAACCAGAGCCCTTTGATAAGGCCCTACAGTTAGAGGATACAACCAAGTGGGAGCAAGTCATGGATGATGGGATGTATAGACTTCAAAAATGTGTTGTACTGAGGATGAGTATGTGACAAAAAGTGAAGCTGAAAAGAAGACGATATGGATGACTGACTATCGGGAAGAATTGGGCAAGAAGTAGCACGAAAAGATTCTTTATAGAGATAATCAGAGTGTCATACAGTTGGTTAGGAACCCGCTATTATTTAAAGATAAAATAGGGAAGACGATACCATTTCATTTGCAGGTTAGTGGAAGATGGTGATGTGTTTTGAGAAGATAGAGGGTGCAAAGAATCCAGCAACATGTTGACAAAATGTGTTGATGTCGGAATATTGAGGTTGTGTAAAGTCTTGATTGGTATAGTGGAGTGAAGATGCTCATGATCATTTGAGAATGATGGTTGACTGGATCAGTCTCCAAGTGGGAGAATTTTTAGGTTATGGAGCTTAATGCTTATTTATAGCTTATGTTATATATCTATATAGTAAAACTATAGAGTAAATTGTCATAAATAGTAAATAGTTGTATATAGTAAAAAGTTATATATATATGGTAGATAGTTATATATAGTAGATGATTATATTTGGTAGAGCTATATATAATAAGCTAAACCATATATATATCCTCTTAGATAGAGCTTTGAAAATGTATTTTCGGTATTTTTCTACATACTTGAAGTCATCAATATAAATCCTTTAGCAAGAGTTCTTCTTGCATTTTCTCCATCCTGCTCTTTGTGTTCATCTAGATCGAGTATGTGCGTTGTTGTGCGATCCTAACAGTCAGGCAAGCCCAGTTGGTGACTGCTTCAACCATTTTGAGATCCACTAAAACCCTATCCTTTGACACCGCATGCCATATAAATGAGACTTGTTGTAGCCATAGTTTACACTTAAAAGAAATTGACATACAATCTATTATCCCTCGAAATAGATAGGACTTTTCAAAGATCTAACTTGTGTTCCTAATCCATTTTTTAATACACTAGAATGTCGTCTATGAACACTATAACAAACGTGTCTAGACACTCTTTGAATACTCGATTCATCAACTTCATAAATATACATGGACATTGGTGAATTCGAACATACTTGTATTATATCCAAGTCATCATGTTTATTTCTTTTATCGTGTTTTTCTATGTCTTTTGTAATCTCGCACATGTTTTGTTGTAAATTTCTAAGTATTTTTCCTAAAATTTTCTATTAAAAAAGTTTTAAATTGTTCGTCGACATGTTTAATGACATGCATATTTTCTATTACTTATTTAGCCGATTTTTATTTTATGTCGATTTTTATTTAAGTATGCTTTAAGTCTTCAAATTATCAAACTATTTAGAGATCAATTAACCTAACAAGTATATATTAAAAAATAATGAAAATTATGAAAAATTTAAAATATCATAATTAAATAGAGAAAAGTGAGAGATACACAATAGTTTTTAAAATGGGTTAGACAAGGCATTTGAATAAAAAACTTCTTACCTCTTTCCACGGATCAGAGAAAAACTCCTACAATGCTCTTTTTAAGAGTTCAAAAACAAACTCAATCATTTCTACATCTTAGGATAAAAACCGCTGCAATGCTCTTTTTAAGAGTTCAATAACAAACTCAATCATTTCCACGGCTTATGATCAAATCGTTACACTACTTTGTTTATTAGTTAAAAGTAAACTCAATTCTTCCGTTACACTGCTTGCCCTTCACGTTCCTTCTCCTCGACGTGTTCACGCGGGCACTGTCGACCATTCCGAGCACGTGTGCCCACCGTCGCCTCGATCATGCCGCCCTGCTTGCGTTAAATGCAATTTGTGTGCAAGGAATATCGAGTGCAAACATACCAGCACTAATGCAAGGAATTCCGTCAGAATTGTGCAGTTAAACGTGCTTGGGGGAAAGAAGTTCTAGGTAATTTGTGCGCATGACATGTCGGGTGCGATCATTCCAGCACTAATGCATCAAATCCCATTAGAACTCCACATTTAAGCGTGCTTAGGTGAGATTAGTACAAAGTTGGGTGATCACTTGGGAAGTCCTCGTGTTGCACCCCTTTTTTTATTTCAATTTCTCACCCGCTCGCACGCTCACGCCCGTCGGGTGTCGATCATACTACCCCGCATGCGTTAAATGAGATTTGTGCGCATGGTATGTTGGGTGTGATCATACTAGCACTAATGCACCGAATCCCATTAGAACTTTGCAGTGAAGCATGCTTGAGCGAGAGTAGCACTAAGTTGGGTTACCACTTGAGAAGTACTCGTGTTGCACCCTTTTTTTTTTATTTTCAATTTCAATTTCTCCCCGTTCTTTTCTTCCTATCTTTACAAATGGCAACCTCCCCCGCTCACGCCCATTGCGTTTCGATCATGCCTCCCCGCATGCGTTAAATGTAATTTTTGCGCACGACATGTCGGGTGCGATCATACCAGCACTAATGCACCGAATCCCATCAGATCTCCGCAGTCAAGCGTGCTTGAGCAAGAGTAGTACTAAGTTGTGTGACCACTTGGGAAGTCCTCGTGTTGCACCCCTTTTTTTTATTTCAAATTCAATTTCTCCCCGTTCTTTTCATCCAACCTCCCCCGCTCACGCCCATCGCGTTTCGACCATGCCGCCCCGCATGCGTTAAATACAATTTGTGCGCATGGCATATCAGGTGCGATCATACCAGCACTAATGCAATGGATCTCATCAGAACTCCACAGTTAAGCGTATTTGGGCGAGAGTAGTACTAAGTTGTGTGACCACTTGGGAAGTCCTCGTATTGCACCCCTTTTTTTATTTCAATGTCTCCCCGTTCTTTTCTTCCTTTCTTTACAAATGGCAACCTCCCTCGTTCACGCCCATCGCGTTTCGATCATGCCGCCCTGCATGCGTTAAATTCAATTTGTGTGCATGACATGTCGGGTGTGATCATACTAGCCCTAATGCACCAGATCCCATAAGAATTCCAAAGTTAAGGGTGATTGGGCGAGAGTAGTACTAAGTTGGGTGACCTGTTGGGAAGTCCTTGTGTTGCACCTCTTTTTTCTATTTCAATTTCTGCCCGTTCTTTTCTTCCTTTCTTTACAAAAGGCAACCTCCCCAGCTCACGCCCATCGCGTTTCGATCATGCCACCCCGCATGCGTTAAATACAATTTGTGCGCATGGGATGTCGAATGCGATCATACCAACACTAATGCACTGGATATGAAGCATGTTTGGGCGAGAGTAGTACTAAGTTGGGTGACCACTAGAGAAGTCCTCGTGTTGCACCCTTTTTTTTTTATTTCAATTTCTCCCCGTTCTTTTCTTCCTTTCTTTACAAATGACAACCTCCCCCGCTCACGCCCATCGCGTTTCGATCATGCCGCCCTGCATGCGTTAAATGCAATTTGTGTGCATGGCATGTTGGGTGCGATCATACTAGCACTAGTGCACCGAATCTCATTAGAACTCCGCAGTTAAGCGTGCTTAGCTGAGAGTAGTACACAGTTGGGTTATCACTTGGGAAGACCTCGTGTTGCACCCCTTTTTGTATTTCAATTTCGCACATGGGATGTTGGGTGTGATCATATCAGAACTAATGCACCGTATCCCATCAGAACTCCGCATTTAAGCGTGTTTGGGCGAGAGTAGTACTAAGTTGGTTGACCACTTGGGAAGTCCTCGTGTTGCACCCCTTTTTTTATTTTAATTACTCCGAGTTCTTTTCTTCCTTTCTTTACAAATGGGAATCTCCCCCGCTCACGCCCTTCGCGTTTCGATCATGCCGCCCCGCATGCGTTAAATACAATTTGTTTGCATGACATGTCTGGATAGATCATACCAGCACTAATGCACCGGATCCCATCAGAACTCTAAAGTTAAGCGTGTTTGNGCGAGAGTAGTACTAAGTTGGGTGACCACTTGGGAAGTCTTCGTGTTGCACCACTTTTTTTATTTCAATTTCTCCCAGTGGTTCCCGCCCCTCGCGTTTCGTTCATGCCGCCCTGCATGCGTTAAATCCACTTTGTGCGCATAGCATGTAGGGTACGATCATACCAGCACTAATGCACCGGATCCCATTTGAACTCCGCAATTTAGTGTGTTTGGGCGAGAGTAGTACTAAGTTGGGTGACCACTTGGGAAGTTCTCGTGTTGCACCCCTTTTTTTATTTCAATTTCTCCCAGTTCTTTTCTTCCTTTCTCTACAAATGGGAACCTCCCCCGCTCACGCCCTTCACGTTTCAATCATGTCGCCCCGCATGCGTTAAATTCAATTTGTGCGCATGGCATGTTGTGTGCGATCATACCATTTTTAATGCATCGGATCCCATTAGAACTCTGTAGTTAAGCGTGCTTGGGCAAGAGTAGTATTAAGTTGGGTGACCACTTGGGAAGACCTCCCAGTTCTTTTCTTCCTTTCTCTACAAATGGGAACCTCCCCCCTCACGCCCTTCGCGTTTCGATCATGTCGCCCTGCATGCGTTAAATCCAATTTGTGCGCATGTCATATTGGGTGCGANCATACCAGCACTAATGCCCCGAATCCTTTCTCTACAAATGGGAACCTCCCCCCTCACGCCCTTCGCGTTTCGATCATGTCGTCGCCCTGCATGCGTTAAATCCAATTTGTGCGCATGTCATATTGGGTGCGATCATACCAGCACTAATGCCCCGAATCCCATCAGAATTTCGCAGTCAAGTGTGTTTGTGCGAGAGTAGTACTAAGTTGGGTGACCGCTTGGGAAGTCCTCGTGTTAAGTCCAATTTGTGCGCATGGGCATGGCATGTCGGGTGCGATCATACCAGCACTAATACACCGGATCCCATCAAAACTCCGCAGTTAAGCGTGCGCTTGGGAAGTCCTCGTGTTAAGTNCAATTTGTGCGCATGGGCATGGCATGTCGGGTGCGCGATCATACCAGCACTAATACATCGGATCCCATCAAAACTCTGCAGTTAAGCGTGCTTGGCGAGAGTAGTACTATGTTGGGTGACCACTTGGGACGTCCTCGTGTTGCACCCCTTTTTTTATTTCAATTTCTCCCAGTTCTTTTCTTCCTTTCTCTACAAATGGGAACCTCCCACGCTCACGCCCCTCGCGTTTCGATCATGTCGCTCGACATGCNTTAAATCCACTTTGTGCGCATGGCATGTCGGGTGCGATCATACCAGCACTAATGCACCGGATCTCATCAAAACTTCGTAGTTAGCGTGCTTGGCGAGAGTAGTACTAAGTTGGGTGACCACTTGGGAAGTCCTCGTGTTGCACCCCTTTTTTTATTTCAATTTCTCCCAATTCTTTTCTTCCTTTCTCTACAAATGGGAACCTCCCCCGTTCACACCCTTNGCGTTTCGATCATGCCGCCCCGCATGCGTTAAATCCAATTTGTGCGCATGACATGTTGGGTGCGATCATATCAGCACTAATGCACCGGATCCCATCAGAACTTCGCAACCAAGCGTCCCTCGGCGAGAGTAGTACTAAGTTGGGTGACCACTTGGGAAGTCCTCATGTTGCATCCCTTTTTTTATTTCAATTTCTCCGAGTTATTTTCTTCCTTTCTCTACAAATGGGAACCTCCCTCGCCCACGCCCCTCGCGTTTCGATCATGTCGCCCTGCATGCGTTAAATCCACTTTGTGCGCATGGCATGTCGGGTGCGATCATACCAGCACTAATGCACCGGATCCCATTTGAACTCCGAAGTTAAGCATGCTTGGGCGAGAGTAGTACTAAACTAAGTTGGGTGACCACTTGGGACTTCCTCGTGTTGCACCCCTTTTTTTATTTCAATTTCTCCCCATTCTTTTCTTCCTTTCTCTACAAATGAGAACCTTCTCGCTCACGCCCTTCGTGTTTCGATCATGCCGCCCTGCATGCGTTAAATCCAATTTGTGAGCATGGCATGTCGGGTGCGATCATACCAGCACTAATGCATCGGATCCCATCAGAACTCCGCAGTCAAGCGTGCTTCGGCGAGAGTAGTACTAAGTTGGTTGACCACTTGGGAAGTCTTCGTGTTGCACCCCTTTTTTTATTTCAATTTCTCCTAGTTCTTTTCTTCCTTTCTCTACAAATGGGAGCCTCCCCCCCCTCACGCCCTTCGCGTTTCGATCATGCTGCCCCGCATGCGTTAAATCCAATTTGTGCGCATGGCATGTCGGGTGCGATCATACTAGCACTAATGCACTGGATCCCATGTTGCATCCCTTTTTTTATTTCAATTTCTCCCAGTTCTTTTCTTCCTTTCTCTACAAATGGGAACTTCCCCCGCTCACGCCCCTCGCATTTCGATCATGCCGCCCGGCATGCGTTAAATCCACTTTGTGCGCATGGAATATCGGGTGCGATCATACCAGCACTAATGCACCGAATCTCATCAGAACTTCTCAGTTAAGCGTGCATGGGCGAGAGTAGTACTAAGTTGGGTGAACCCCTTGGGAAGTCCTCTGGGTGTGATTTTACCAGCACTAATGCACCGGATCTCATCAGAACTCTTCAGATAAGCGTGCTTGAGCGAGAGTAGTACTAAGTTGGGTGACCACTTGAGAAGTCCTCGTGTTGCCCCTTTTTTTATTTCAATTTCAATTTCTCCAGTCCTCGTGGTGCTCAGTTTTCCAGTTTTTGGAAGTTGTTTTCCAATTTTTGGAAGTTCGAATCCTCTCAAATGTCGCAAGTGGGTCTTAAAATCAGTCTAAGAGAAGAAAATTGATGAAAAAGTCTTTGAAAATTAGATTTTGGAAGGTTATAGAACGAAAAACTACTAATTGGCTGCTTGTTCACCTTGTCAACTTTGACTGTGGTTGGCTTCTATTTCTTCATGTCTGCCCTATTTTCTCGCACTTTCTCACCTCATCGTCATAGTTTCAAACCCTCTTTCGACAACGAGCTCGGTTGGTAGAGAGTATATGAATTTGACCTTTCGAGTCTATTTGATAAAAAATGGAATAACATCCTAACTAGTGAACCCTTATAAGATCTTTTCTCTTGGGTCGAGGTGATACCTTATAAGACTTTTTCTCTAGTGGGGACATTATGGTTTGTGCTTGTTTGCTCTCATCATCTATGGGAGGCTAGCTGGTGAACCCTACCCATATGACCATCTAGCCACCCAAGATTGGGGGAGCAACCCCTGTGCTTGCCAGCTACTAAGGCTACCCGTGTAATCCTACGTCCCTTAATAGGATGGATGTGCTATGTAGGGTAATCCAACTGAACTTTTGTCATTCTTGGATGTCATGGAGATCAACTAGGTTCTTAAGGGTTCTAGGCCGTTTAAATAAAACAAAAAGTTAATGTGATAAAATTTAAATCAAAATAAAGACAAGAAGCAAGGCGAGCATTAAGTTTAAAATAAAATCCAATTATAAATTCTTGGATGTCATGGAGGTCAAGTTGGTTTTTAAGGATTCTAGGCCGTTTAAATAAAATAAAAAGTTAATGTGATAAAATTTAAATAAAATAAAGACAAGAAGCAAAGCCATCATTAAATTTAAAATAAAATCCAATTATAAGAAATGCTAAATTACTTGGAATGTTAATGAATATGCCCCTTAATCAGTTGGTGAAAGTTAAAAAGGTTTTATATATATATATATATATATATATATATATATATATNTTTTTTTTTTTTTTTTTTTTTTTTTTTTTTTTTTTTTTTTTTTTTTTTTTTTTTTTTTTTTTGTAAACTTTTAATTTTAATTTTAGTTCTAAATATCATAATTTTTTATTGTTAACATTGTGACCTAAATATTCCGAGAATAAGTAATTAAAACAAAAATAAATAAATAAGAAATAAAATATGA